TCGCCCTTTTCGAGGGCTGTTGGTGGGTCAGCGGAGTGAGGCATCGCGGGGATCTGAGCGAGACCTCGCCGTCCCAGGGGGGCTCTCAAGAGCTGCTGTGGGATACGTTGGGTGCAACGGGCGCATGGCACAGCCAACGGGAGTGATTTGTTATTACGTAGCCCTTAGATCTTGATCGGGGGCTTGCGAGCCTTCCGATTGCTGCTCGCAAAATCACACGCGCCCATATTACGTCATCGCCCCCGTTGTAGCAATCCTGATGTACGTATGCCCCGCATTGCGCAAGGGTTGGGTACGTCGCCAGGGTAATTTTGGTCGACGGCCCCGCGGCCCGGCGAACGACCCGCAACCGAACACGAGGACACAACGAACCGTTTCCGTCGTTGTTGTTCCAACCCTTTTTGTTTGGGTATTCGTTTTGAACACAGCACTGCGGTCTCCAGTCCTTTGTTCCCCATATCCTAAGATGGGGTTCTTGTTATTACTTGGACGCCTCCTACTCCTTCTTCTTCTCCTCCTCCCCTCTTCTCGTCTCCTCCTACTTAGACTCACTCATACTCAGATTCACTCATACACAGACTTACTCATACACAGACTTACTCATACACAGACTCACTCATACTCAGACCTGATCACATTAACTTACTCATACTCAGACCTACTCATACCCAGACCTACTCATACTCAGACTTACTCATACTCAGACTTCCTCCTTCTCCTCCTCCTTTTACTTAGAGTTCCTCATACACAGACTTACTCATACTCAGAATTACTCATACTCAGACCTTCTCATTGTCTGACTTATTCGATAAACAGCAGATTGCGAGGATGTCTCAGGCGGGGCGCTGGTTTCAGCACCCCTAAGGGGAGCCGCCGAGGGGTGTTGCACGGTCCCGTTCGCGGCCGTTTTGTGGGGATGTCTCAGGCGGTTTGCCTGTTTGTCTTGCCAACATCCTTCGCTTTCGGAGCAGATTTGGAGGATGTCTCGAGCGAGGCGCTCATTTTCACCCCCCAGGTGGGCCAGATTTTGAGGATGTCTCGATCGGTTTGCTTGTTTTGGTGGCCAGGCTCGTGGCCCTAAGGGGAGCCGCCGAGGGGTGTTGCACGGTCCCGTTCGCGGCCGTTTTGTGGGGATGTCTCAGGCGGTTTGTCTGTTTGTCTTGCCAACATCCTTCGCTTTCGGAGCAGATTTGGAGGATGTCTCGAGCGAGGCGCTCATTTTCACCCCCCAGGTGGGCCAGATTTTGAGGATGTCTCGATCGGTTTGCTTGTTTTGGTGGCCAGGCTCGTGGCCCTAAGGGGAGCCGCCGAGGGGTGTTGCACGGTCCCGTTCGCGGCCGTTTTGTGGGGATGTCTCAGGCGGTTTGCCTGTTTGTCTTGCCAACATCCTTCGCTTTCGGAGCAGATTTGGAGGATGTCTCGAGCGAGGCGCTCATTTTCACCCCCCAGGTGGGCCAGATTTTGAGGATGTCTCGATCGGTTTGCTTGTTTTGGTGGCCAGGCTCGTGGCCCTAAGGGGAGCCGCCAGGGGTGGTTGCACGGGCTCGTTCGCGGCCATTTTGTGGGGATGTCTCAGGCGGTTTGCTTGTTTCTGGTGCCCAACATCCTTCGCTTTCGGAGCAGATTTGGAGGATGTCTCGAGCGAGGCGCTCATTTTCACCCCCCAGGTGGGCCAGATTTTGAGGATGTCTCGATCGGTTTGCTTGTTTTGGTGGCCAGGCTCGTGGCCCTAAGGGGAGCCGCCAGGGGTGGTTGCACGGGCTCGTTCGCGGCCATTTTGTGGGGATGTCTCAGGCGGTTTGCTTGTTTCTGGGCCCAAAATCCTTCGCTTTCGGAGCAGATTTGGAGGATGTCTCGAGCGAGGCGCTAATTTTCACCCCCCAGGTGGGCCAGACTCCAGGAGGCCCCAGGAGACCACATGAGGTACCAGGAGGCATCAGGAGGCCACAGAAAGACTCAAGAGGCCACAGGATGTCCCAAGAGGCTCCAGGAGGCCCCAGGAAGCTCCAGAAGGCCTCAGGAAACCACAGGAGGCCCCAGGAGGCAACAGGAAGCGCCAGGAGGCCTCGGAAGGCAACAGGAGGCCCCGAGAGGCCCCAGGAGCAGGAGGCCTCAGAAGGCAACAGGAGTGGCTCCAATCCCATGTGTTTTACGTATGCTCCTATCGATTGGGCCTCACCTGGAGCACGATTCTTTGATGTTCTACGTATGTTTCTATAGATGGTCCTTCTCCTGTGTACACAATCCTAAATGTTTTACTCATGTTCCTATATATTGGGCCTCTCCTGGGGCACGAGTCCTTGGTGTTTTACGCGTGTTCCTATAGATTGCCCTTCTCCTGTGGCTCTAATCCGCAATGTTTTATGTACGTCTGTTGCTATAGATTGCGCCTCTCCTGGGGCACGAAACCTTCCTAGGAGGTCCCAGGAGGTCCCAAGAGGCTCCTGGAGACCCCAGGAAGCCCCAGTAGGTTTCAGGAGGCCCCAGGAGGCCCCAGGCTCATGCACAGAGACGCGCTCGTACTACTGAGGCTCATTCACACTCCAATTCATTCGCAGTTAGATTGATGTCCAGACCGTCACAACTGAAGCCTGTTAATATTCGAAAGCTCTTGCGCCTAGACACTCACGGCGGACAGGTCCATGCGAGTAGATGCACATATGGGGAGCTCCACGCAGTGAATAATTTCCTCCTCCGTCCGCCTCCCGTCTCCCGCTCCCCTTTTGTCTCCTCTTGCTTTGCGCGAACTTGGCCATCCCTGGGGGGCCGCAATCTGCGACACCGTCGCCACTTTCGAGGGCTGCTGGTGGGTCCTGCGGAGTGAGGCACCGCGGGGATCTGAGCGGGACTTCGCCGTCCCTGGGGGGCTGCGGTCTGCGACACTGTCGCCACTTTCGAGGGCTGCTGGAGGGTCCTGCGGAGTGAGGCGCCGCGGGGATCTGAGCGGGACATCGCCGTTTCTGGGGGGGCTGCGATCTGCGACACAGTCGCCACTCTCGAGGGCTGCTGGTGGGTCCTGCGGAGTGAGGCACCGCGGGGATCTGAGCGGGACTTCGCCGTCCCTGGGGGGCTGCGATCTGCGACACTGTCGCCACTTTCGAGGGCTGCTGGTGGGTCCTGCGGAGTGAGGCACCGCGGGGATCTGAGCGGGACCTCGCCGTCCCTGGGGGGCTACGATCTGCGACATTGTCGCCGCTTTCGAGGGCTGCTGGTGGGTCCTGCGGAGTGAGGCACCGCGGGGATCAGAGCGGGACCTCCCCGTCTTTGGGGGGTTGCGATCCGCGACATTGCCGCCACTTTCGAGGGCTGCTGATGGGTCCTGCGGAGTGAGGAACCGCGCGGATCTGAGCGGGACCTCGCCGTCCCTGGGGGGCTGTGATCTGCGAACGCCACTTTCGAGGGCTGCTGGTGGGTCCTACGGAGAGAGGCGCCGCGGGGACCAGAGCGGGACCTCGCCGTCCTTTGGGGGCTGCGATCTGCGACATTGCATCCATTTTCGAGGGCTGCTGGTGGGTCCAGCGGAGTGAGGCACCGCGGGGATCTGAGCGGGACCTCGCCGTCCTTTGGGGGCTGCGATCTGCGACATTGTCGCCACTTTCGATGTCTGTTGGTGGGTCCTGCGGAGCGAGGCACCGCGGGGATGTATCTGAGCGGGACCTCGCCGTTTCTGGGGGGCTGCGATCTGCGACATTGTCGCCATGTTTGAGGGCTGCTGGTGGGTCCTGCGGAGTGAGGCACCGTGGGGATCTGAGCGGGACCTCGCCGTCCCTGGGGGGCTGCGATTTGTGGAATTGTCGCCATTTTTGAGGGCTGCTGGTGGGTCCAGCGGAGTGAGGCACCGTGGGGATCTGAGCGGGACCTCGCCGTCCCTGGGGGGCTGCGATTTGTGGAATTGTCGCCATTTTCGAGGGTTGTTGGTGGGTCCTGCGGAGTGAGGCACCCGTCCCTGGGGGGCTGCGATCTGCGACACTGCCGCCACTTTCGAGGGCTGCTGGTGGGTCCTGCGGAGTGAGGCACCGCGGGGATCTGAGCGGGACCTCGCGTCCTTGGGGGGCTGCGATCTGCGACATTGTCGCCACTTTCGAGGGCTGCTGGTGGGTCCAGCGGAGTGAGGCACCACCGGGACTGAGCGGGACCGTCCTGTCTCTGGGGGCTGCGATCTGCGACATTGCATCCATTTTCGAGGGCTGCTGGTGGGTCCAGCGGAGTGAGGCACCGCGCGGATCTGAGCGGGACCTCGCGTCCTTGGGGGGCTGCGATCTGCGACATTGTCGCCACTTTCGAGGGCTGTTGCTGGGTCCAGCGGAGTGAGGCACCTCGCGGATCTGAGCGGGACCTCCCCGTTTTGGGGGGGGTGCGATCCGCGACATTGCCGCCACTTTCGAGGGCTGCTGGTGGGTCCTGCGGAGTGAGGCACCGCGGGGATCTGAGCGGGGCCTCGCCGTCCTTGGGGGGTTGCGATCTGCGACACTGTCGCCGCTTTCGAGGGCTGCTGGTGGGTCTTGCGGAGTGAGGCACCGCGGGGATCTGAGCGCGACCTCGCCGTTTCTGGGGGGCTGCGATCTGCAACATTGTCGCCACTTTCGAGGGCTGCTGGTGGGCTAGCCACGTTTGAAGGCTGTTGGTGGGTCCAGCGGGATGAGGCACTGTGCAGACCTGAGCGGGGCCTCGCCGTCCTTGGGGGGGCATGTCATGTTGTTGCTGCCCCGTCTCCTTTTGGACCTCGCGTCTTCCTTTGTGATGATTCAGGGGGTTACTTAGTTACTCGTCGTGTTCCCTTGATTGGGGACCTGCGCACCTTTCGAAAGCCGCTCGCCGAAATATATGCGTCCATGTCACGTCGCCGCCTTCTCGTCAAATCTCCCAAGCTACTCCTGTCCCGCATTGCGCAGGGGTTGGGTACGTCGCCAGGGTGATTGTTTTGCTCCTGGACGTTGCGCGTTTGGGCGGTCTGCGCCTTGCCTGTGCACTTCCTTCAACATGGCCACCGCGGCCCGCAGGCGTCGGCGTCCATGTTCCCTGCGCCGGCGTGCGCCACGGGCGCGGCGCTGTGCCTGGGCCTGGGGCGCGTGGGCGCCGCCGCCGCGCCGCTGGTGGCCGACCTGGTGCTGCGGGCCACGGGCAGGCGGCTCTTCGTCGTCGTTCGCCGCAGCCTGCCGTGAGAAACGGGGGTCCTGGCGTTGCACGATGCAGGAAGCCATGGTAAGGACGCGCGGACGTCCTTGGGGTACCTTGGTGCCCCCTTGGTACCTTGGTTGGTACCTTGCGGCCCGTTCTCCGCGGCTTCCATTGGCTGGCCTTTGCAGGGTGTCGGCAGTCCGCCGCCAACAGAGTATTAATTACGGCGTCCAAGGCCCTTGCGTTCTCCCCGCCCGTCCTTATTAAAAGATTTCGGTTGCAAATCACGGAAGACCCCGTGCGCCTTGCATTCATTGCGCGTGGGCGAAAAGCGCTCAAGAGCACCAAATCGCGCCCAATAGCGTTCACATAGCGCCGGATGGCGACCAAGGGTGCCCATCTGCGTCATGTGAAGCAAATGTTTCGTGTCCGCTTCGCGCGGGATTCGGCGCAATAGTGGGCGCCACGGGGCGTCTGGGAGTTACCGCCACCATGATTCCCGACGATATCCGATGATGTGGCCTGGTCAATCTCGATTTTTCCCAACCCTCCTTGGTTGGGCATTTGTTTTGAATAGAGCACTGCGGTCTCCAGTCCTTCTCCTCCTCCTCCTCCTTTTCCTCCTCCTCCTCCTCCTCCTCCTCCTCCTCCTCCTCCTCCTCCTCCTCCTCCCGCCTCCCGTCTCCCGATCCCCTTTTGTCTCCCTGGGGGCTGCGATCTGTGACTCCCGCGGACTGAGGTACCGCGGGGATCTGAGCGGGACCTCGCCGTCCCTGGGGGGCTACGATCTACGACATTGTCACCACTTTCGAGGGCTGCTGGTGGATCCAGCGGAGTGAGGCACCGTGGAGATCTGAGCGTGACCTCGCCGTCCCTGGGGGGCTGCGATCTGCGACACTGTTGCCACTTTCGAGGGCTGCTGGTGGTTCCAGCGGAGTGAGGCACCGCGGGGATCTGAGCGGGGCCTCGCCGTCCTTGGGGGGTTGCGATCTGCGACACTGTCGCCGCTTTCGAGGGCTGCTGGTGGGTCCTGCGGGCTGAGGCACCGCGGGGATCTGAGCGGGACCTCGCCGTCCCTTGGGGGCTGCGATTTGCGACATTGTTGTAATTTTCGAGGGCTGCTGGTGGGTCCAGCAGAGTGAGCTGCTGGTGGGTACAGCAGAGTGAGGCACCGCGCGGATCTGTTGGTGGGTCCAGCGGAGTGGGGGACCACGGGGATCTGAGCGGGACCTCCCCGTCCCTGGGGTTCTGCGATGTGCGAAACCGTCGCCATTTTCGAGGGTTGCTGGTGGGTCCAGCGGAGTGAGGCACCGCGGGGATCTGAGCGGGACCTCGCCGTCCCTGGGGGGCTGCGATCTGCGACACTGTCGCCACGTTCGAGGGCTGCTGGTGGGTCCTGCGGGCTGAGGCACCGCGGGGATCTGAGCGGGACCTCGCCGCCCCTGGGAGGCTGCGATCTGCGACATTGTCGCAGCTTTCGAGGGTTGCTGGTGGGTCCAGCGCAGTGAGGCACCGCGCGGATCTGAGCGGGACTTCTCCGTCCTTGGGGGGCTGCGATCTGCGACATTGTCGCCATTTTCGAGGGCTGCTGGTGGGTCCAGCGGAGTCAGGCACCGCGCGGATCTGAGCGGGACCTCGCCGTCCCTGGGGGGCTGCGATCTGTGACACTGTCGCCACGTTCGAGGGCTGCTGGTGGGTCCTGCGGTCTGAGGCACCGCGCGGATTTGAGCGGGACCTCCCCGTCCCTGGGGGGCTGCGATCTGCGACATTGTCGCCACTTTCGAGGGCTGCTGGTGGGTCCTGCGGACTGATGCACCGCGGGGTTCTGAGCGGGACCTCGCCGTCCCTGGGGGGCTGCGATGTGCGACATTGTCGCCACTTTCGACGGCTGCTGGTGGGTCCTGCGGTCTGAGGCACCGCGCGGATTTGAGCGGGACCTCCCCGTCCCTGGGGGGCTGCGATCTGCGACATTGTCGCCACTTTCGAGGGCTGCTGGTGGGTCCTGCGGACAGGCACCGCGGGGATCTGAGCGGGACCTCGCCGTCCCTGGGGGGCCGCGATTTGCGACATTGTCGCCACTTTCGAGGGCTGTTGGTGGGTCCAGCGGAGTAAGGCGCCGCGGCCGTCCCTGGGCGGCTGCGATCTGTGAAACCGTCGCCATTTTCGAGGGCTGTTGCCGGGTCCAGCGCAGTGAGGCACCTCGCGGATCTGAGCGGGACCTCCCCGTCTTTGGAGGGCTGCGATCTGCGACATTGTCGCCACTTTCGAGGGCTGCTGGTGGGTCCTGCGGAGTGAGGCACCGCGGGGATCTGAGCGGGACCTCTCCGTCCCTGGGGGCTGCGATGTGCGCCATTGTCGCCATGTTGGAGGGCTGCTGGTGGGTCCTGCGGACTGAGGCACCGCGCGGATCTGAGCGGGACTTCCCGTCCCTGGGGGGCTGCGATCTGCGACATTGTCGCCACTTTCGAGGGCTGCTGGTGGGCTCGCCACTTTGGAAGGCTGTTGGTGAGTCCAGCGGAGTGAGGCACTGCGCAGACCTGAGCGGGGCCTCGCCGTCCTTGGGGGGGCATGTCATGTTGTTGTTGCCCCACCGACGTTTCAAGCCCCTTGCCCACCGTCTCCTTTTGGACCTTGCGGCGTCCTTAGTGACTCAGGGGTTCACTTAGTTACTCATCGTGTTTCCCTTGTTTGGGGACCTGCGAACCTTTCGATTGCTGCTCGCAGAAATATGTGCGTCCATGTCACGTCGCCGCCTTCTCGTCACATCTCCCAAACTACTCCTGCCCCGCATTGCGCAGGGGTTGGGTACGCCGCCAGGGTATGTTTTTTCTTGACGTCTGCCCCTGGGGCCCGCTTTCGGGCCCGAGGACCATCAGAAGCGGATCGGGAACGATTACCCCGGGGGGTCGGGGGTGTGGAATCATATGGCTCCCTCTCGTCCTGACTATCCGTGCTTTTCTGTGTTTGTGTCTGTTGTATGCTTGCTTGTGCACAGCGCCGTGACTGACGCTTTGGCTCAAGCCATTCTGTGTGCGTGGAGTGCAAAGGCATCCCTTTCAGTACATCTTGCGATGGCCGCCTGAACCCGTCGTGCCCACAGTGGTAGGCGGAGCGTGGTTCACCGAACGACTTCCGGAAGCGAGGCCCAGGGCGGGTGCGCAGCTGGAGGACGGTTCACAGATCTGCGGCAGGGCGAGGGCGACCTACGAGGGTGCAAGTACTGAAGACGGGTGATGAGTCACTCGAGCGCAGCTGCCTCAGCAGGCGGCAGAGAAGGGCTTACAGACGCAGACATCGACAAGATTGCAGGCAGAGTGGCCCAGATGATACGGCTGGGCACAGGGGCTGCGCCGGCCTCGGCGCCACCTGAGGGCGCACCCAATCTCCAGGGGCTCGCCGGTCAAGATCAGAGCGCGGCTCCATCTCACGAAGCAGGCTGGAGCGTGGTCGACGACCCCTGGACGGAGCATGATCCGTGGCGAGAGGAGTGGAGAGCGAAGGATGCGCGGGCAGAAGAGGACAAGCAAACACCACCATCCATGAGGGCATCAGACACCTGGAAGGAGTGGAGAGACGGACCCGGACGACAACAGACCTGGGATCAAGACTACTCGTGGCAGAGCTGGGGTAGTCAAGGCAGCACGTGGCAGCACGACCGCGGCTGGTGGCAGGGCCAGTGGACCCAACCCAGGCCAGCACCATCCTGGCCAGGCTGGGAGAGATTCAGGCTGCGGAAGCAGTACGTGCAGCGCTGGAAGAACGGCCTGAACTTGAGCGAGGCTCAGGCAGCAGACAGACTGCTAGAGATCCTGCCCTGGGAGATCCGGGCGACCCTCGAGGACGTCCCGGATAGCGAGCTGACGGTCGAGCTCATACTGAAGAGGATGGGCCTCAAGTCCGGCGAGCGCGAGGACGACGACCTCTACCGGACGGGCAGCGAGGCCATGCAGGACACGGAGAGGAAGAAGGATGAGGACCTGCACACCTTCGCAGAGCGACGCCGACGCCAATTCGACAAGGCGAAGAGTATCGGGATGGAGATCCCGCAGAAGATCCAGGGCATGCTACTGATGCAAGGAGCTCGTCTCAACGAGCAGGGCAGACAGAACCTCAAGAGCCTGACGAAGGGCTCGATGCTAGGTGAGGACATCCTCTGGGCGCTGCCCAAGCTGGACACCGGAGGAAAGATCTGGAGCGACGGCAAGCAATCATCGCTATTGGACATGGGACCGGAGGAGGCACTGCCAACTCCCGAGGTCCAGCGGGCAGAGACCGGGCCGGTCGAGGAACCGATCTACGAGTGGTCGTACTGGGCCGACGAGCTGGACTCGGAGGACGAGGCCATGGTTCTCGTCGAGCTCTCCGAGAAGGGCCTCGCGGAGCCAGAGGTGGTCGAGACCTTGGCACAGATCGGCAAGACCAAGAAGACATGGAAGGAGAACCAGCAGCTGAAGACGGCGCTCAAGAGGGATCGGGGCTTCTGGAAGAAGAAGCGCCGGCTCACCCCAACACAGCTGAAGTTGATCACGAAGTGCGGCATTTGTGGAGAAGTAGGGCACTGGCACAAAGAGTGCAAGAATCCTCATCGTCCCAGAGAGCGAGATGGCAAGGGCAAATCTCGGTCTGGAGGGGCCGAGATCGAGGCCTTCACGTTCACAGCGATCGGCGCGGGCGACGACCAGGACTTCAACATCGACGGCATCACGGTCCTGGGCAGGGAGGTGCTGGCGACCCTCAGGGAGATCGTCAGCTCGGAGACCACGGAGCTCTCGCTGCTGATTCTCGAGGGCGGCCTGATCATCGTGGACAGCGGTGCCTCTCAGGCGATCATAGGCCGCCGGGCTTTGAAGGAGCTCGAGGGAGATCTGCAGCAACGAGGCCTGCGGATCAACTGGATCGAGAAGAGCGTCCAGACACCTCGGGGTATCGGCGGATCGGCCACGCTGGTCGGAGTCGCCGTGGTGCCCATCTCCATCGGTGGCAAGAGCGGGACCATCGAGTTCGTGG